AGAGAGAGAGAGAGAGAGAGAGAGAGAGAGAGAGAGAGAGAGAGAGAGAGAGAGATGGGTCTGTTGTCAAAAGGATCTGAAACACCTCGCCCCTTTCCCTCCCACCACTCCTGGTACCTTACGCCTGTGTTTGGTCTTCATGAGTCCGGCCTTCTGCGCCGCCTTCAGCTTGTTAATTGTAATTGTAACGACTTGTCGTCATGGTTGGATGCATGTGCAGTTGGGTCGTCATCCTCGTCCATGTCGGCACGCGATCGGTTGATGAAACGAACAAAGGGCGACTTTTCGGCTGGGTACGTGTCTTCCCTTCTCTGTCAACAGCTGTTTCTTCGTTCCAGTTGTCTTTTTTTTTTAAATGGAGAGAATAGCGTCTAATTACGGAATCACATGCAGCAGCAGGGTATGAATGCGTGTTCTGTATGCTATGATGAATAGCTGCTAATCTATTGTCGACCGCACGACCTCGATCACTTACAACCTCGATCCCCAACTCACAGATGCCACATGCACCCAACAACCACCATGCGCCCCATCCAGCATCCAGCAAGCGTAGCTCGGCTATGGCTGCCTGCTCCTTCCAGCTCGCCTGTGAGCGCGTGAGCGATGGCCAGAGTTAGCGCAGCAGCGCTTGCACAGCATGCAGCCAGTGCCTGAATGCCGAATGCGTGGGCAGGCCCTCTCCTATATGGAAGTGGCCTGCTTGCTTGCGTGCAGCCTGGCTGCGCTGGGCCCCTGCCCAGAAGCTTCCAGGAGGCCGAAAGAGGCTGAGCCCCAGACCGAAGGAATCAGGGCCTGGGCCTGTGGCAGTTGCCCTTGCTCAACTGCCCGCGGCCTGTGTTCTATTCATGGTGCGAATCTGGTCCAGGGCCTGCCTTGGTTGCATTCGAAAGAAAGAGGCAGCCTGGGCCTGGGCGCTTTCAACCAACTGGCGCTGTGCAAGTGCCTGAAATTACCCAGTTGCGTGGTGACCCCAAAAATAGGCCTGTGGGCCCTGGGTCGAGCCTGCCTTCACTTAGGGCGGCCGACTGTACAGAAAATAGGGCCCGGTAGGGCAGATCGAGGCCTTGAGCCTCGCAGCCGTTTAAAAAAAAAAGAAAAAAAAGAAAAGAAAGAAGAAGAAGAAGAATGTGTGGCGGTAGCGACCCATTATTATATTAAAAAAGAGGAATATTAGTGGTGATATATTATATTAAAGAAAGGAAAAAGGGAAAAAAAAAAAAGGAAATCTAGTGAGCCGTCATGCTGGGAGTTTGAAAAATGCGTTGCAGGCTAGGCTACCACCCGGGCCGCCCGGGTCACCCCATTTTCTCGGACGGCCCGGCCGTGCAAGGACCAGGGAAGGTACTAGCAAAAAAAAAAGAAAAAAAGACAACGAAAAAAGCTATGTTATGCAGAAAAATAAACTGAACAACTTTTGCCTCAGGGTAACATCGAAATTCGTTGCCAAATGAAAACTAAAAAATAAAGTTAAAAAATAACGTTTTTTTTTTTCTTTTTTTTTTTTTTTCTTTTGGCTCGGACGGGCAAGTTGCCCTGGGCCACTCTGGTACCCTAGGTTGCAGCCTCGATTTGGCGAAGGTTGTGGCAATCTGAGGAAAATCCAGTTTTAGGTTTGGGTGGGGGGGGTGTTGTATTCGAGGGATGCCTGAACTGTATATTAAACTGAAATTGTGAGTGCGCCTTAGTCACCTCAAAACAAATAAAAAAATGAAATTGTCGTAATCATACGACTACACATATGTGCTAGATGGGAAACGGAAGTCTCTCTGCTTCAACGTCTGTGCGATGCACTGTGGGTGCCATAGCCGAAGAGGAAGAAACTCCCAGAACCGGGAAGGAAACCTAAGGGAGAAGAGAATATGAGACCTCTACATCTCTGTCATGGGGACCCTTGCGCGATGAGCCACGATGGAGTAGGGGGCAGTTGTTCAACATCTCTCTCTCTCTCTCTCTCTCTCTCTCTCTCTCTCTCTCTCTCTCTCTCTCTCTCTGTGTCTTTCTCTCTCTCTCTCT